AATAAATTACCTTCTCAAAGGAAGCTTATGGTTTTATAGTTTCTCAGGCAAATGGGAGCTGGACCTGACTTTGCTCTAGAACCATCATATGTTTTTATTCTCCTGGCCAAGCTTGTGATTTTTGCTTACTGGGATCTATTAAATATTATGCTATGGGTAATTTTGATGGTTAGGTTGCTTATAAAAATGAAACCAAACTGTAATTTCTTGTGCTCTTTAAAATGCTGCCTTGCCTAGTGAGAGTCTCTCAGACACTCCTTTTAAAAAGGGTTCTGAGGGGGTCACTTCATTTGTCACCAAATTGATATGAGTCTTCACACCCATGTGTTTATGACCTGTTGACTAGAATGAAGCCTTTACCAGCACAGCTATGGGACAAGATGTTAATTTAAGGATTAGGAGAGGAGAACATGTATCCCTTCCCCCATTTAGCAGTCTTTGTCAATTTATCTCATAATTGTAGACGTCTTATAAATTGGAGAAGAAAAAATTAAGAGAATTCATGAACTTGAGGTTGAATTCAATGGCCTAAGGGACCCAAGTTATAGGTACTGTCCTAGTCAGAGTTACCATTGCTGTGATGAAACAGCATGACCAAAAGCAACTTGGGAGGTAAGGCTTACATATTTTTAGTCACAGCCTATTGAGGGAAAGCCATGGCAGGAATGCAAACTAGGCAGGAACCTGGAGTGAGGAGCTGATGCAGAGGCCATGGAGGGTGCTGCTTACTGACTGACTTGCTTCTCCTGCTTACTCAATCTGCTTTTTTTTTTTTTAAAAAAAAAAGTATTTATTTTAGAAGCACTCTTATTTACATATACATCCCCCCATTCCCTCACCCACCCATCCTCCCATGCTCCCTAATGACCCCCCAGTTCACCCCCTACCCACTCCCCAGGGACAGTGAGGCCCTCCATGGGATCATCAAAGTCCATCATCATGGGCAGGGGGAGGGCTCAGTACCTCCTTTCCATATCTGGGCTGCAATAGTCTCCCTATGGGCTCCCAAAGTCCATTTGTGCTCTAGGGATAAACACTGGCTCCACAGTTAGAAGTCACATAGACTGCCTCGGCCTTCTATCTGGCACCCACATTTGGAGGGCTTGCTTGGATCCAATCCTGGTTCCCCAGCTTTACCACTAGAGTCTCCGTGTTCTCATTAGGTCAGGTCAACTGTTTCTGTGGGTTTCTCCAGCACAGTCTTTGCTCCTTTGCAAATCTCTCCTCCCTCTCTGCAACTGGATTCCAGGAGTATGGCTCAGTGCTTAGCTGTGGGTGCCTGTTTCTGCTTTGATCAGCTACTGGATGAAGGCTCTAGGAATGGTAACCAAGGTATTCATCAATCTCATTATAGGGGAAGGGCAGCAAAGGCAGCCTCTCCACCACTGCCTGGATTCTTAGTTGGGGTCATCCCCCGTGGATCCCCTAACATTTCCCCTGAGCCAGACCTCTCTCCAAACCTGTACTGGCTTCCTCTATCAAGGCATCTCCTTTCTTGCCCTCTTCTATTTTTCCCCTCAATCGGAGTAAACCAGTTCTCCAGGATCTCAGCTCCTCAAAAAAAAAAAAAAAAAAAAAAAAAAAAAAACCCGCCTGCAACCTACTCTTCCTAAATCACATCAGAATTTTAATTAATCAATTAATTAATTTATCAGTGTATGTACATGGTGTAGGGCTGTGTGTGTCTCTGTGTGTGTTTGTGTGTGTGTGTTGTTGTTGTTGTTATTGCATGTACAGAATATGTGGCCTTTTTCTATGACTCTCTGCCTTATTACTTGGAGAGGTCTCTCACCCAATTGGAAACCAGCTATTCTGATTGGTCTGGCTGGCCTGGGACAGGGAGCTCCCAGGCCCTACTTTTCTCTGGCCCCCAGTGCTGCACTTATTCACACATGGCCTTGCCCACCCTTTTGCATAGGTGCTGGGATTCAGGCTTAGGCCCAGATACTTGCATAGCAAACCCTCTTACCCACTGGACCATCTCCCTATGCAGTGATACTTTGTTTGCATTTTAGCAAATAAAGCTTGCCTGAAGATCAAAGAAGTAAAGTAGCCAGTCACTTGAGAGTTCTCACCTCTACCAGTGCTCAGTCCAAAAGGGCTATCCTGTCATCAGAATGGCAGCAGACTGCATCAGTCTCTACCAAACCTCAGACTGCACTGCACCTGTCTCCTCCTGCCTTATATTCCTCTCTAGTGCTGGAATTAAAGGTGTGGGACCCCAAGTGCTGAGATCACCTTTGTGTGAGCCATTTATCTCTTAGACTGATTAAATCTCATGAATCCCAGGGTGGCCTTGAACTAACAGAGATTCGTCTGCCTCTGTCTTCCCTAGTCCTGGGATTAAAGGTGTATGCCATCACTGCCTGGCCTCTAGTGGCTTAGCTCTGCGCTCTGCACTCTGATCTTCAGTCAAACTTTATTTGTTAAAACACAAACAAAATATCAGTACATCCTTAGCCCCCAGGCCAGCATTTTCATAGCTGTTAAACATTTTGTTATAGTATGAAATTCTGTCTCCCCTCCACCATTTTTTAACCTAAGGTTCTATAAGGAATGACCCATTGTGTCTAAATGTCAATCTTCTGGCCCAAAAGATAATATAGCCTACAATATTATGAGAGCTCAAACTGAGGTCTGTAAATAAATGAGAAAATGAGGCAGAAGAAATTAATTGTAAAGGGGTTGTGTTTTCAGATGTAGTTCTAGTTTCCAAGCACAGGAAGATGGTGACAGTTCAGAATTGTGATGCTGTGATATTCTTGAGCAAGAGTTTCAAAGACAAGGACAACCTAATCACTGGGAAGCAGCATGACTTCAAAGGTCCAGACTTTGCTTTGGGCTCCCTAGATGGTTCAGTCCCTGCAACTCAAATGTCATAGCCACTGACCTTGAGCACTGACTGCACTTTGCAAGGTTATCTTTCAGTATCTTCTAGCAGAGCAAGATAAATAGAATGCAGGGTCTGGAATACACACAGAGCTGGATCAATAGCTGCTTGAGTAACTGCATCCAATAAGTGATTGATGTCTAGATTGAGATATATTTCTGATTTCAATCAACATGGCTCAGTCCCCAACCTTGCAATAATTTTTATCAGATGTCTACAGAACAGTCTTAACTATCCAAAGTTTTCATATGAGGAATAGGGAAAGCATATGTAATGAGCCCAAAGCCAGAAAAAGGAAAGAAAAGCATCTCCGTGTGCTTCAGTAAGTGAAAGAAACTAGGGGGACCTGATTTCTAGTTTAAAAGCTAAAATATACAAGTACAAACTGAGGCAAATATGATTTAAGGACTTAGAATCATTAGATTTTATTAGACATTATTTCTCTTGGATCTGAGAGATAAGTTGTGTTAGCTAAACTAAATTAGTAAATTTTCCCTGTTCTTTGTCAGATGTTGTGTGGGCTGACAGTGGTGTTTAAATGATCCCTGTTCAAAATGATACCCTTCAGTGATAAGATGCACAACACAGAGGGTGTTTAATCAAAATAGAGAAGTTGCATATCACGAATAATCAGTACAATTAAACAAACTCACAGCATGGTTTTATCCAACTTTATCCAAAGGTTCTCTCTAACTTCTTTTCATAAGCTTTCTTTTGCAGGAACTTTTAATTTATGTGGGAGCTTCCATTATTATTAGATCCCTGTATCCTCTGAGGGAGAACACGTAGGAATAAAATAATTTACCTCTTGCTTCTGAAAATGTTTTCTAAAATGTAGTCTCAGCCAATTTAAGGATGTTGTCATTTTTGTCACTGCTGTGTTCATAGGACCTAGGACTGGGCCTGGCACATAGTAGTTACTCAATAAACAATCCCTAAAGATAATAACTGTCTCAGATGATTTTCAAAGTTCATCTGCCAGAGGCTGGCTCCGTACACTCTAGTTTGCTCCTAGCCCTTGTCTTTATCTGTGAGTGGTTTGGTATTGAACAGAAGTGACAGTTACTTAGTAGGCCCAATGAAGTATACCTTATATCTATTGGAGGTCAGCTGTGCTAATAAACTAATTACAAGCTACAAGACAGATGAACTTAGCAGTCAAATATTATAGAATCATAAAACTATTGGCAGTAATTACTACTGACACATCACAATTATCCAACCATCAATAATTAGACATGGTACCTAGTCTGTGAGGTATCTGTAGAGGTCAGAATAGGCAAGTTTTGCACCATGAATAAACATACTCCCATTCAAATCCTACTTCTACTGCTGTTGTGTGAACTCCAAAAGGTTACATCAATCACTGTAAGCCTAGCTTGTTTCTCCATCCATAGACTGGGTGTAGGAGTAATAATTAATCCCTAAGATCAGTATGAAGATTAAAAGACATCAAGAGATGGCCAAAGCCTCTGCCACGTTGTAAATAATAAAAGCAAGTTACTATTGATATAAATAATAACCACGCCAGCAATGACAGCTCCCATTATTATCACCTTCATGGCAAGCAGAATGTCATCTCAGAGCTGGGACTGTGGGAAGGCAAAGACAGAGAGCAACACTGGAACTCAAGTCCCTGGCTTTCCATTAGCATTCTGTCTATGCCACTTTAACATAATGGGAAAAGATTGCTAGCCTCGTGTGGAGCTAGCAGCCACACTACAGCCTGATTGGCCTTTCAGGAAGAAAAAGCAGGCAAATGAGTGAAGTAAGGCGAACACAGAATGAGAAAAAAAATAGTAATAAAAGCCCTGTTCCTATTGCATTTGTACAGATACAGAATATCAAGTATTGGGCCTGTTTCACATACAAGAAAGAAAAAATTCAAGTTTATGGTCTTTTTACAATTTTACTTGGAGTCAAAAGTATTTTTTATCTGTCTAACCATATTTTGACACTATGTACAGGGGACTTTCTGTCTTGTCTATAGGTGCCCCTGGGCAAGCACACAGGTTTAAACAGACTTGAAATTACTGCTGCTTATCATACCATGTGCTTTCATTACATGTGCTATCATTATGTTCACGCCTTCTTCATTTTCGTTCCCTAGAATGCTGAAGTTTCTGTTTTTGAAGTAAATATACGCTTCGTCGGTGGACTGCTGTCAGCCTACTACTTGTCTGGGGAAGAGGTAAGTTGCAAAGTGGTATAGAAAAGTGAATCATGAAATGTCTCCAAAATACCCTTTTTGTTAAATATGCCACTTGTGGCATGGATTTAGGAAAAATCAACTCAATTTTCGTGTTCCGGTGGTCAGTTTTATTTCTCAAAATATGTGCTAATTAAATGAGCAAGCTGGGGAAGTTCATATTGCCAGGTTAAGGTAAGACATTTAAAAAGTATGGCTCCATTATGCTATATTTGCTATGATGAGAAGTACAAATTCCACATGTCTGCAGACATAGTACAGATGTTTAGTGTAATGGCAGGCTAGTAGGTGAAGTTTTGTCATGAAATTTATTTTAATGTTAGTATGTAAACATAATAAAACCTTTTTTGAGCAAAGAAAGCATGACAAATAAGATATGAAAATTACAGTACTTGTGAAATTGGGGGGGCTGCAGCTCTGAGCTTGCCAACACACTGTCCTGCAGGCCAGTGTCCCTGTCAGAATGGCTTTATTCGCTTCCTGAGTCAAGGCTTAATGAATTATCTGCTGCTTGGGGAAAAGCAGGGAGTTTTAATTTTCTTTCTTTCTTTATTTCTTTCTTTCTTTCTTTTTTGGTAGATTAAAGACTTTTGTATCATGTTCATAAAGGACACTGATCCTATTTGATTGAAAGCATTTGGATAACTTTGTGAATTATGGGAAGCGTCCACCCAGAGTTTTGGGAATGGACTCACCTGTAATACTGACAGTGTTAAAAGCTGACATCAAGGAAAAACAATCACATATTTCAACTGCATGTCAATCAGATTTACGTTAGCCTCAGCATTCTGGCTGGGGGAAGAGCAGATCTTAGCCTGTGTAGTATTTCATGTATTTCTGTGCTTCAAACAGATTTAAGCAGGGTAATAAATGTTTAATGAGACAGGCTGCTTGACTTTGCTCCTGTCTCCAAGGTGCTTTACTAGTAGTAGCAACTGCACTCTTGTTCCCTCTCTTTCTCTTTTTGGATTTTATTCTTCCATATCTTTTGTTAAGTATGTAGATAGCCCCCACAGTCCCCTGTGTCATCCTGCCCTAAGCATCTTTCCAGCCTGGGGAGCACAGCCCTGTGCTGTGTTATTCTCCCTGCTCACTTTACCCAGCTTTTCCCCCTCTCTTATATGTACAGTCCAGTTTAGCCTCCCCAAGCTGGAGCGACTCCATTTTAAAGTAGCAGGGCTTAAATGGACATTTCTCTAGTGAACAGGTCCCTGAGCATCCCAGGCCCAGATCTTCTCATGGTTTTTGACATCCTTCATAATTTACATGTAGATGTCACAATTTGGAAAAAAAAAAAAACAACGACTGCACCCTTCTGACTGTGAGTTTGATGGAGTTATGGGGAATGCAGAAAGGAATGAATGTATATTTCTTCCAAAGATGTGTCCTTTTGCATGAGTTTTTTAGTTTTGTTTACTGTTGCAAGATTCTGTATATGTGAGTATTTCTATTTTTATGAATATTTGCTATATCTGTATTGCTTATCTAAATGAATTGTCTACAGATGATGTCATTTGTCTGCAATTAGAATAATTAGCTTAAGGCCTTGTAAGAATTTTTATTTAATTACTTTTAGTTTTTGAGATTATAAAATAATTGTATCATCTCCCCTTCCCTTTCCTCACTCTCAATCCTCCATTATACCCTTGCTTGTTCTCTTTAAAATCCATGACCTGTGTTTTCATTAATTGTCATTATATGCACACACACAGATACATACATACACATATATATTTCTCTGTGTGGATATATATATATATATATATATATATATATATATATATATAATCAATATATATATACAATTACTAAATATATACACATACATAAATATAATCTGTTCAGACTGTACAATGTTATTTGTATGTATATATTTTTAGGCCCACCATTTGATAACCATCGAATAACCCGTTGGTGTATTCATTCCTGTGGAAGATCATTTCTTCCACTCTCAGCGTTTCTCAGTTGCCTGGGTAGGGTTGAGCTTTCCCCTATCCAAATTACAATGTCTACTAGTATGGTCCTTGTTAAGCTCATGTTTAAGGATGCAGGTTGATTTAGACTATGTGGGTATAGCTTCTGTCCTCTCTATGAGACATAATCTCACAGCAAACCCTGTTCCTCTGGCTCTTACAGTCTTCCTGCCCCATTTCTGGATAGATCTTGAGCCTTGGGTATAGGAGTTGTTTTATAGATGTATCATTTGGGACTGGCTCCATAACTCTTCATTTTGATTGATTGTAGCTTTTTGGAAAGGTCTTCCTCTGCTGCAAAGAGAAGTCCCTTTGATGAGCAGTGAGGATTACATTTATTTATCTGTAGGTATAAGAGCATATATTCAGAATGTTGTTAGGGATTTTTCTGGCTTAGTGTAGTGGCAGTTGTATGTTCTCTTCCAAGATTTGTGACTTCACTGGCTCTGGGTAGTTGACTAGGATTCCAGTATTAGGCATGATTTCCGTCTTGTTGAGTGGGTCTTTAAGTCCAATTAGAGAGCAGTGGTTACTGCACCCTTGGGGTTATTTGGCCATGCTGGTCATCATCAATTGGTTCATATGTATAGTAGCTGGTTAGGACTCTAGGTTGCTTCCCTCCATTGGAAGCTTGCTTGGATCCTCCTGGTGCCAGGAAAACTAATCCTCAGAAGCATGAGGCTTTCAGGTCAATTCTAGCTCTGGGGCCTCTGGGCCCTGTGTCTGAAATGTGTGTTAACTTCAGTAGAAACTTAAATACCTTCCACCTTTTGGGAAATATTTGTTGTTCATGTATAGAAAAGGCATGATTTGTGCAAAGTGATTCTATATCCTGCCACATTGTTGAATTTCTTTATTGTGTTCTAGAAATTTTCTGTTGGGTTTTTTTGGGGAGTGAGAGGGGGTGGGAGGGGGAGATCTCTTTTATGTAATATGCCATGTGCAAGTAGGGATAGCATGCCTTCTTTCCCACTTTGTGTCCCTTTAGTTTCCCCCTCTTGTCTTGTTGATCCAGATAGTTCTTCAAGCACAGTATTGAAAAGGAGTGTCCTAGTGGACATCCCTGCCTCATTCCTGACTGTAGTATCAATGATTGGCTTGTGTTTTTCTCCATTTATGATGGCTGGTTTCTCCTATATAGCTTTTTATTGTGGTTGAGGTATGTTCTCTCTAGCCCTAATTTTCTAGGACTTGTATCATGAAGGCATGTTGGATATTGTCTTCCATCTACATATTAGCTTCTTCCTAAATCTATTAAAATGGTCATGTATTTTTAAATAAAGTCCACTTATGTGGTTTATTACATTTATTAACTTGCTTATGTTGAACCATTCCTGCATTTCAGGGATAAAGCCAACTTAGAAATGGTATAAAGTCTTTTTGATGTGTGTCTACATTCTGTTTGCAAGTATTTATTAAGTAAGCAGTTATTTATGTTCAGATGGGATATTGACCTATAGTTTCCTTTTTCATTGTGTGTTTATTTGGTCTTAGTATCAGAATAATACTGGCTTCATAAAAGAAATTTATAACTGCTCTCTCCTTTTAGTTTTTTTAATTGTTTAAGGATGATTGGCCGTAGTATTTTTTTTTTTTTTTTTAGGTATGATAGAATTATGAAGTGAGTCCATCTGGTCCTGGGCTTTATTTTAGTTAGGATGAATTTTGTTACTGTTTCAAGTCCCTCGTTTGTTATGGGTCTGCTTAGGTGGTTGACTTTTTGGTTTAATTTTGGTGGTTTGGTTTGATCTAGAAATCCACCCGTTTCTTTTAAATTTTCAAGTTTAACAGTAGAGTTCTTTCTTTCCACCTTTCTTTCTTTCTTTTCTCTCTCTCTCTCTCTCTCTCTCTCTCTCTCTCTCTCTCTCTCTCTCTCCCTTCCTTCCTTCCTTCCTTCCTTCCTTCCTTCCTTCCTTTTTGTATTCCCTTATAATATTTTGAAATTCTTCGGTGTCTGTTTCCCTGTTCATTTCTGATTCTGTAAATTTTGGCCCTTTTTTTAAATTTTGGTTAGTTATGTCAAGGCTCTATTAATCTTCTTTATCTTCTAAAAGAACCAGTCCTTAGATTCATTGATCCTTGATATTATTTTTACTTCTCTTTCATTAATTTCTGCTCTGATTTTTATTATTTCTTGTTGTCAGCTTGGTTTGAATTTTTTTTCTGGTTTGTCCAATTTTTTTTAGCTACAACATCATATCATTTATTTGTAATCTTTCTGATTTTTTAAATATAGGTACTTAGACCTATAAAATTCCCCTGGTAAACCTGCTTTCAAGTGTGTCTCAGAGGGTTTGTGTAGTATTTCATTTTCAATTAGTTCCAGGAAACTTTTTCTTGATTTCTTCTTTGACCCATTCAGCATTTGGTAAGGAGTTGTTTAATCTCTCTGAGTTTGGGTGTTTACTAGAAATTTGTATGGTGTCAATTTTAAGTTTTATACTAGAAATTTGATGTCAATTTTAAGTTTTATCTAGTTGTGGTCAGATAGGATACATGAAGTCATCAGTCTTTTTTAATTTATACAGATTTGTTTCATGCCCCAGAATGAGGTCTACTTCAGAAATTCCCAGTATGCTACTGAGTAGAATTATATTCTTTGATGTTTGGGTGAAATGTTCTATAGATAGCTGTTAAGTTCCTTGTATGAATGGTGTCCATTAATTCTGATGTTTCTCTGTTTATCTAGATGACCTATTTAATAAAGTAGACTATTGAAATCACCTATTAATGGATTCACATTCATCTTGGGTAACTATTCCTTTGACTGGAATGAAGTCTTGCTCTTTATCTTGCTGGTTTAGCTTGACTTCTATTTTGTCAGCTATTAGGATAGTGATGCCTGTTTGTTTCCTGGTACCATTTGATAGGGGTGCTTGTATCCATCCTTGCACTGTAAGGCAGTGCTTACCTTTAAAGCTAAAGTGTGTTTCTTGTAGACAACAGATAGATGGATTTTTTTTTTTTTAATTTTGAACCATTTAGCCAAGCTGTATACCTTGACTGGAA